TCAAATACTGTTATGTTAAAAATCAAGGACAAAGTCATGTTAAAATGAATTATCTAAAAACAGGGAAAAAAATGACAACTAAAATTCTTCCTTGTGAAAAGATCTTATTTAAAGTGAATCCTTGAACAATGTCTTAGGCCAAGTGAATTGCAAGTGACATCAAATAAAATCAAAGTAGCACAATTTCTATATATAATGAAAAACCAAATAAGTTCAAACCAAGGGACACAAACCAAGGCACTAGTAACTGTTCCCAAACCAACTTGAATGACTCCATATCACATGTAAAATAATTTGTACAACCTCTATGGAATGAAGTTCAAATAATAAAGAAGAACATTGAAGAATAAGGTGATAAGAAATGGCAGCAGATATATTTTGCTTGAAAGTTTCAATTCTTTTTATAAAGATGATTGCCTCTTAAGAGTCTTTAGTTAGAAAGAAAGTAACTTTAATCAGATTCTCTAGTGGGATGAACTAGAGTCAATAATATTTTTTTGTTGAGAAGAATAGATCAGTTTGATTATTCAAACATTTTCCAATAATTTTATTCTTTTATCCTTTTCTTATTTATTGATTATAATAATGTCACATTTTTTGTTGACGTATTTTCAATTTGTAGGAAAAGCATTTTCAAGTTGTAACATTATTATTTTTTTTTTTCTATATTCTTTCTTTATTATTTATCTCACAAATATTTATTTTTAGCAACAATAATAAAAAATTGTCTCATATATTTAATGATAATTTTATACTTTTATTAGTTTTATTCTTTTCTTATTTAATGATTCATTTCTATTATTGTCATTAAAGTAATAGTCAAAGTGGTAAATTTGATAATGAACTGTTCACTCTGAAATCCAGTGTAAAATATGTATGGTTGTTCCTTGTCATGGTAGAGGGTTTGCATGTCCTAGTGAACCAAAGAGTGAAGCTGTCTGAACTTCCAACACCTGTAAGCCACCTATTGCGGTAGGGTCAAGGAGGAGGAACCAGACTGAGTGCGACCAACCCACAAAGACCCCAATAGCAGAATAGGTAAACAAGATCTACATGATTTCAATGGCCAAACTGGCTAAAGAGAGCAGCGTTAGTCAGGTTAGCGTAAACAAAGTGAACCTTGACTGAGCAAGCATCCGACAATCTGATGCAGTCAATCCCTTTTGTCGCCAAATTTGATGGAGAAAGCAAAGTAGCATCACAAAGAGAAAAGCGGAAAAGGACAATTACAAAGTATAAAATCTGTAGCTTGGAGATCAGATAAGGCATTGCTTATTGGATGTGACTGGAGAGTTATGCTGCCATAAAGTTGCTAAAAGAATCCTAGGAAATGTTTCATTGAGTCTTGTGCTTCATTTAGATAACTGTGAATCAATTAAAACTACTGATCAGAATTAAACACTGACAATGTCAGATTGAATACCGTTTGGATCAATCAAAAAAAAGATTTATTAATAAAAAGCCTTGAACAAAATCATAATTGGCAGCTGAATTATTTTCAAATCCTTCCAGATTTTCTGGGTTGAAAAAGCAGAATTTTAATTTTGCCTTTCTTTTCTGTTGGACTCAACAAATTTTGATGATATTAAATTTAACATTTCTTTAAAAACTATTTCAGATATATTTACATATATTAATCATTATTTTAAGTGTTCAATTTAATATCATTTTGAAGGATTTTATGGGTTGCACTTTGACAAGTTTTTTTTTCATCTTATCTTTGCTTTTTATCACAAAAATATATAGGATATTACAAAAATATATAGGTTACTTTTATTGTAATTACAAATTACAATGAAAGAAAACAAAATCACTTGTTAAAACTATTAACAACTGATAATGATTCATCTAAATATAATTGTTTTTAAGATTTATATTTCACAGATGGATGTGCATATGGTGTAGTGATTATAGACATGAAAATTGGGAGTGGCTGAGATCAAATTTCAACCAAAGTCCTTGCATTCACTTTTCTATAAATACTCTTGGAATGGTATGATTCCATCTATCCTCTCAAATATGGATTAATAGCAAGGTAGACTGGGATTTCTAACTGAGGTTAGCAACTAGTTTAGGAGATGGACAACTCTGAATTCAAATATAGTTGGTCATGCGGCTAACAATTCCAATATGTAAAAACCTAGCATGGCGAGGCTGTGGCCCTATAGTTTACAGGTATGACTTCAGAACTTATACAGATCTATTTTACTTTTAATTGCATCATTATATATATATATATATATATATATATATATATATATATATATATATATATAATAAATATATGGATAGATAGATAGATAGATAGATACACACACATTTTAGTTGTCACATATATTTTATGATGAGTACATAGCTGAGTGGTTAGAACATTAGAAGCCCAACCATGTGGCCCAGGTTCAAATCTCACCACTGTTGATTTGTCAAAGAGGTAAATTCTTGAGTATATCAAATTGGTGGCACAATCCCGGCATATGATGAGGTTGGGAAGTGCCTACAAATTATGTCACAGGTTGAGTAGACAAAACTATTCAGAAATTGTTGATTGTTACACCAATAGAAAGTTACTAGTAATCATACCAAGGGTTTAAGCATACTTGGTCTGCAATTACTGCTTATACCAGATTATACGTTCTCTCCCAGAAACTGTAACTAACCTTAATACTTGGTATAAACTGCAGTTTGGCTCTACAGGTGTTGAATAAACGCAATGTGCCTGAGCAAAGTTCTGTAAAAGGGATCATTTAGATACATGGGTATACTCAGAAGTAAGTAGCTGGCCATTATTCTTCTTATTATTATAATTCTAATTTATGAGGACATGTTGAAAAGCATTCATGCTGATCAGATTTTGGGAACATTGTCTGGATAAGAACTTAATAGATTGCTGATGATAAGACTCTCAATTACAATCGTTTGGGTTTCATGGTAAGTTATATTTAAAGTTATATTTCTGCCTTTCTTTATAAAAAATATATGACTATGTCATAATTTGTCTTGCTTTCTAGTATTTTTGGTTACCTAAAATTTTATATATTTAAAAACTGTTATTTTTTTAGGTGGGGGAGCTACTGAACATGTAAACTTCGATAGATGACTGATGAGGAAGATTTTTGTTCTGCAGTAGGTTGCCATTTCTTTCTACCGTAGACCAGTTGATATCCAAGGCTATAAAACCCAGTCTGGCCTGCTATTTACCCTTAGCTGGGGCTGGGGGAGAAGAGAATTATATCTTTCCCAAGAGTATTACCACATAAATGAATGTAATGGATCTGACTGGAATTTGAACTCACCTCTCTAATTTCTCGCAATGTATATAATGTTTATATATGTACATTATATATATTCCAAAGATTGTCATAGCTGATATTGGGGACAAACTCCCAGTCAATAAAAGGCTACCATATGTGCCTCAAATAACTTCTGTCAGCTAAATCCAACTCCAAACACATGCTGGGATTTTCATCTAGATTATGTGTATGTGTGTGTGAGTGATATTTTGACTTTTGCATCTGGTTATTTTGTTAATATAATTAATATCAATTAAATGTGCCAATAAAAATTCTCTGTCAGTTTTGTATTCAAAATACAAACAATTTTAAACTAAAAGAAATAAAGAAAAAAAACCTTACTTAAAAGAAATAAAAGAAAAAAACCATACTCACGGATTTGTTTTCAGCTTTTGAAATACAAGACTTCCATTCTTTTCTCTCTTCACGCAGCAAATCCTGACAAAAATTTAAAAAAATGTTTGTGATTAGATTTTAATTTCTTGTTGTCTGTGATTAGAAATTAATGCAATGAGGGAGGTGCTTCGACAGATTTATAATCCTTGAGACCAAATATTCCTCAATTCCTCAATTCTTCTTTTGCACTCTGACAGAGACACAAGATCACCAGCCAACAAGAAGGTGGCAAGCTTGTTATTTGCTGACTAATGTCCTACCACTAACATCAATGAGAATATAGTATCTTCAGCCAGTGTGAAGCAACATCTGGTAAACTTTGGGCTGGTGAGCAAGGAAATGAAATGAACAAAGGACTGCTTGGCTTGAAAGTCTGTGGGGAGTGATGAGAACAAGGACCCCAGCATGCCTCATGTTCTAACTCAAAGTAGTGTGTTCTCACTGTGCGGAAAGCTGATTGGATACTTTTTAATAGGTGGATGGCTTAGAGTAACAGCAGAATTCATTAAGAGATGATCAGCAGCAGCAGCAGGGAAGATAAGGTGGATGATGCTCCTTTAACCACAATGATAAAAGTCATTGTAAGAGTGCACCAAGAGAACCCTGTGTGAGGCAAATGGTGTGTTGATGGGCCCAAGATTAATATGTGGGTTGATGAAAGCACTCTGGATATTGGTGGCTCACTGGAGCATAATGAACCAACTGTGGAAGATGCAAGCTGATTGCCCAAAGAGAAAGATGTACAGCATATAAATTTAGCAGAGCTAAAAACTTTTTTTTTAAAATGTCAATATGGCATGGGGAAACAACAGTGTTGAACATTTTCACTGACTGCTTGTGCATAAAAATAAATTATGGACACCCTCACAGGAGGCTCAATATGCTCAAAAATCTGGACGAAGAGTACAAATTTTTGGTGGATATAACCAAGCTCAAAGTCTGATGGGAGTGCTACAGTAATGGATTGATTTGATCAAAAAAATTAGCTAAGCTCCAAAACTACATTTGTGCTGCATCAACGATCAAGTCAATAGATGAAATGGTCATCCTTGTGTAAGGTGGATGTACTTTGTCAGGAAGGTCAACTCCACAGTGAAAGAAGTTGTGAAGAAATGCAAGGAGTGTCAGTCGATTTGACTCACTACCTGCACATTGGATGAAAGGAGAATTGGATGTCAGTGACAAGTGGTGCAGAATGGGAATCCAATAAGAAGAAAATACTTTAACCTTGTCTATTACAATTCTGCAGAAACATTATTTATTATAGCAGAATTTCTTTTCAGCTGCCAACTTTTCAATCAATTCTCATCAAAGAGGATTGTTGATAAATTTTAAAATGTTAAAACAGTAAAATATGTAAAATGGTTTAAAAGAAGACATAAAATTTTCATCTCATAGAAAAACATTTACCTGTTTTTCATGTAAGTCTTTTTATGCTTCAACAAATTTTGAACAATCTTTTTTCATGAGAGTTGACTGAAAAGAAGGTCACTTAAAAGCAATTATACCATCTATATCTTTTGACAATTTATTTCAATATGTCTGCTTCTTCAATCAATATTTAGAGTTTGTAACATTAGGAGGCTTTAAATAAAACTATTTCTCATCTTTGCCAAATGCTTTTTTATTTCATTCTTTTATTTTCAACACTGTTAAAAGCAATGATTTAAAAAAATATATTCCAACTTGAAACCTTAGATATTTTCCATTCCAAAACTATGTTTGAGATAAATGTATATTTAAGCGGGGAAATTATAATGAAAATGCTATGTGATAATTAGGAACATATTTCAATACAATCAACTGGAATGTTTTTTGTATGTTTCCTAAAAACATTGCATATACTTTACTTACATAAGACAATTTAGTCAGTGGTTTTCCTGTTTTCATTTCTCGTCTCATACGAACCTCAAGTCGAATTTTTTGAATTTTACAGATTTCTTGCTCTACTTCTGCATCCTCTTCATCATCATGTTTGCATGAGTCAACTGCAAAAAATGGCAAAGTACGTTAAATATGAAACACTTTCATTTTGGTTTGTTAGGCTGGTTGATTTTATATGTTAGGTTATTAAATGATGGATATTACATTTAAAACTTAATATCAATGGTAAATCATTTTACCCTAAGCAAGCAAATAAAGCCACTAAGATGCAAGAAATTACAGTGTGAAAGCAATAGCCTACATTTCACCATTCTTATCTAAATTTCAATAGAACCTTTCCATAATAACTGTTAACATATCAGCAGGACCGATAGAAGCAAAAGCCATATTGCTTGTCTGGAAGAAGATCCGACAAAATGAGATCTTTAACCAATTCAGAGTTGATTAGAGCCTCTAGCACTTTGCCAAAAAGAAGTAGTAAGCTATTAGGCTGGTAGGTAGAAGGATCATACAGTTTTCCTGAGTTCTTAGACTTGAACTACAGAAGAGGATTTCCAACATGCAAGAATGCAAGAAGCAGCAAGGCATTTATTGTAGAGTTTAGAGAGAACAGGAACCAGTTTAAGAGCACATTTCTCAAGGACCAAGGCTTTTTATTAGTCATAAGGCACAAGTGATGTAATGGTATAACCTGTCACCCCCATGAGTGACTACACTATAGGTATTAACTACTTATAAGTATCTATAAGTCAACAGACTACAGAGTCTAGCTGAAATCTTTTTCAGCTGTGCTGGTCGAACTCTCTGCCTTCAGGCAAAGAGGAACCTGGATGAGGCTATGCCGAAGGGGAGAATCTCATTTGGGAGGTAGACTAACCTGATCCTGTTTATGCGGGGTCAATGGGGACTTTTTGGCCGGGCCTATGGGCTTGGGAACTCCACATTAAATTCGGCCTTGTACCACATGTGACTGCATGGGGCAGTTGTTAGATACTCTAACTGAAATCTTTTTCATCTGTGCTGGTCAAACTCTCTGCCTCTGAACAGAGAGGATCTCCGGTGTTTTGTTTATCAAACTGTTTGTCTTGCTTTGAATGTGGATTTTTTTTATTTTTGACTATTAAAGTGTTTATCTTGCTTTGAAATTGCAATACTACTTCAAATCAACCACAATTCTATTATCACTTGATGTTGTAACCTAAACCTTCGCACGCTCACTACTTGAAGGAGATGGTGAAGGTCTCACATGTGTCTTGGTATTCCTTCTATGTAGACTGCCTTGGGATTCAAGATTCTGATCATTGTTCCTTTTCTATATTTACCCATGCATCCGTTGGGTGACGTTTTTACCAGCATGACATCTCCATTTTTTTTATATATATATTCCCTGTCTATATTCAGCCTCCAGTGGCACAATATTATCAATACCTTTCACCCAAACTTTGTAGCAGTGCTGCTTTGCAGTTTGCAGGGTGCTTTGCCATCTGTCCATTTCCATGATGTAGTCCACTCATTTTATCACTAATCAAATTCCATGTGAAAATCAGGTTTGTCAATGAAGAGCATTGCTATTGTGCATGTAGAAGATTGTGGAGAAAGTGCACCTTGCCTGATTTTGAAAAGGAAACCCCACCCAGGTTCTTAATTGTATCAATATCGATCAGTATGTTGAATCTAATAGGGACCTCTTGTGCTACCAAAGCCTCTAGTTTTGCAGTTCCTCCGTTCACACGATGATCTATCTGCCTGACACTATTTATGCACATTTCTCCATTAAGTGTCATCCCTTCAACATCCTTCTTTTTCCATGTGCAGCACATCTTTCTGCTGACAATGGTTCAAAAACACCCAGAATCCACCAGTGCAACACTTCTCTTCCTGCACACATATACCACTATTGTGGGCAGTGCCAAATTCACATTTTGCCAACTGACCTTGTAGATACTCCCCCTTGTCCCTTTCCCAAACAATTCTGCAACAAATGACCTGGCTTCTAGCCAGAACCTGCATAATGTCCATTCAGCAGGATGCACAGAGGATCTGCTTGACATGCTCCAGCAAGACTGCTCATAAAAGCGCATATTAAGCCTTGTTTTGGTATACCACCAAACAGAACTGAGAGTGTAGCCCTGCCAGAAAAATCATCAAGAGATTTTCCAGGGTATAAATGTTGTACCACAAATTGTTCAAACATGTCAGCACCAAAGGCTGTATATAGGGCATCCTTTATGCAGCCAAAGTCATTTTTTCTTTCTTCACAGTTGTTGATACAATGTGTATGCACTGCCCATTAGATGCATCGGGATTACAAACTCAATCCTTTTCACCATGCACAGCCAACATATCAATTGTGCTTTCTCTATCCATTCAAGAATGGATTGTTCATGATCAGCGTCATCAAATTCCACTTTTAGTTTTGGGTCAAATTGATTAGTCATGGGACTGAAATAGTTTGTAGCAATATATTTGTGGTAATCCATTTAACTTTCCTTACTGCTATGTCTTTGTCCTTGAACCTCACAGCTGGCCTATTGAAATGTATTCCTTGTTTTCTGTAACCCTTCTCATTTTCCATGCCCACCTACAAGCTTTTATTTAGGCCTAAGGCACTAGTTAATTTACATGACCGTGTATGACACAGGCAATTTTGTGCCCCTTTTATTGGAGACATTGGCCATGTCCATTACAACCTGGCATTTGCCAGAAGGTACAAAAGCATCAATGTCAGCTTTTGCCTAAGAAAACCTCAGTGGCACAATTCATAATATGATGGCTAAATATTCCACTCAAAGGAGTGTTGCAAAGAAAATCATAAAATGAATCCCAATCAGTACACTGATAACAGAAAGAAGTCTTGTGAATAAGAGGTTCCTTTCTAATAGATGAAAGGAATATCAACAGGTACTACAATGTGATCCAAATTATGTGATAAAAAATAAATGAATTAAAGAAGCATGTTGATCAGAATTATTAGGGAAACAAGTAGGAAAATCCATTATAGAGAGACTGAGCTGAGAAAAAATTGTAAGTTTGAATACCAGCATCATCAGGAATGATTAAGCCACATAACATGATGATCATTAAAATCACCAAACACAAAAATGTTTGCAGATGAAAGTAGAAAGAGAGCCATTGTCAGATATTTAGTCTAATATGTTGGTCCTGAGAAGAAAGGGAATGATAAAAACAAAACAGATAGCTACCAGAGTCCAATAAAATGTCAAAATATTACGAAAGAATCATCTGTGGCCTCAAGAAAGTCTATTGTTATTGGAAAAATTTTCCTGGATGTAAACAAGGCCATGCATCTGTCCCCAAGTTTACTCAACAAAGAGGATGATAGCCTGGAACAGAGAATCCATTGGTAGTGATGGAAGAGTTTAAATTAGTTTCACAAAACATTAAGGAATCTGGAGAACATTTCAAGAAAATAAGCCCATGACCACAGATGGTTTTTCTGGCATTAAATAGAAAAGAAGTTATGATCATTTTAAAAATGAGAGATTATTTTAAATGTATTAACAGGAGATAAAAATGGTGTTTCTTTGGAGTTAAATATGATGTAAGAGATAAAGTTTTACTTTTAGTAAAATCCAAAGATTTTGCTATAGCAAACACAATGATATTGGCTGGGAATTTCCATGATTAGTTGAAAATTTTAGAACTCAAAAGGACTTGAAACAACTGTAATGTATGTTTTGAGAATGCTATTGATAGAGCATGTGGCAAATGATGAAGATTTTAAGAGAATAGTGTTGTGTCCATTAAGAACAATAAACTACTATTCAGTTTAAATAGGGTTATTGCCCTTATATAAAAAAGGAACTCTCTGGATTGGGGTCCCTTTATAGGGACTTCCGGTACCGCCTTTTGTAAATAAACTCGTCATTTATTTTCCTCCGAGTTTGTGGCTCATTTTAAACACAATAAATGGCGACGAGGATGATAAAGATGAATTAATTCCAGTTTCCATCCTTATCTACGAGCTAGATAAAACAGGTTTGGATTCACACAACCTCACCACCAAAAAAAAAATACTACGATGTCGTTACCCGACTTGAAGATTTATCGTCCACGGCGAAGAGAATACAGCTGGGACAAGATGGAAAAAATGGATTTCCAAGCTGGATAATCTATATTTGTAGCACTGGATATCAACTCCGACAGACAGAAAAAGGCAATACTTTTACATTACGGAGGAAATGACATTACCGATATATATGACACCATGACGGACGAACAAAAAGGGACTAACTCTATGACGGAAGGTGATAACCCAACACCAAATGAATATGATATATTAAAAAAATCTTTTAATAGTCATTTCATACCCAAACAGAATGTTGTATATGAAACTTTCAATTTTCGTCAGCTAAAACAAAAGGAAAAAGAAAGTATGGATTCATACCACATTCGATTACGTGCTGCCGCGGCAAATTGTGGGTTTCATAACATGGAAAATGAAATCCTTGGGCAAGTAATCTTAGGATGCACGTCGCAAAGACTTCGACGAAAAGTTCTAAAAGACAATCTAACGCTCACACAGCTACTTGACGAGGCTCGTGGTATTGAACTTTCCGAAAGCCGTGCTGCCTCAATAGAAAATAAAACCAGTACAGAAAGCACTGAACAAACACACGCTATTCAAAGCCGAAATATGCCCAGGTCAGGAAGCTCAGAATCTAACCAACATAGACCTCACTGCCCGGAATGTCAACATAGCAGCCGAAGGGATTCACATTCAAAAACCAAAACAAAATCCTCCCCCAGGCTCGAAAAAAAATAACAGGCGATGCATTTACTGCAATGCTTCACAGCCTCACCCCAGATCAATCTGTCCAGCAAGTGGAGAAACATGTAATAGGTGTGGGAAAATTGGACACTTTGCTCAAGCATGTTTGTCTGGCTCTAAGGTAAGACAGATCCAGTTTTCACCTTCATCTGACCTCTCCCAATCTGATAATGAATCTCTGTTCTCAGTCGATGTTCTTTCAACAACATCCCCATCAATAACCTTACCGAGGATTACAGCATCAATCCACAACAAAAAAGTCAGTTTCATAATTGACACAGGTGCTTCAGTAAATATTCTGGGGAAATCAACATACGAATCACTTGGCCGCATGGCGCCATTACTCCAAAAACCTGTACCCCAAATTTATGCATTCAATTCAAATGTTCCCCTTCCTGTTCGTGGATTCTTCCAAACAAACATCAGCTACAAATCGTCAACAGTCACGGCAATATTTTACGTATTGCACACAAATGGATGCACCAACCTGATGAGCAGTAAGACAGCTCAACAACTAAACCTGATCCATTTTTCTCTACAGACAGGCCCGACAAGCATATCTGATCAGTTCCCTCGTTTGTTTGATGGTGCGATGGGTTGCATCAAGAATGGCAAAGTAACTTTCCACATTGACACATCTGTAACCCCAGTTGCTCAAATTCATCGCCGTATTCCTTTCCATGTCCGCAAAGATGTAGAAAATGAGCTAGAAAGACTAGAGAGTCTGGACATCATCGAAAAGGTCGAAGGCCCAACACCATGGGTCAGCCCCATAGTTGCTGTTCCCAAAACAGGTGGAGTGCGTCTTTGCATAGACATGCGGGAAGCCAATCGTGCAATTAAGCAAATCAAACACCGATGCCGACTATTGATGACCTGATAGCGGATTTAAATGGTGCAACAGTTTTTCAGCAAGCTGGACATGAGGAATGCATACCATCAGCTAGAATTAGATGAGGCAAGCAGATATATCACAACATTTACCACCCATGTAGGTCTCAGGAGATACAAGAGACTACTATTCGGAGTCAACGCAGCAGCTGAGATATTCCAGAATACAATATCAGAACTTCTGAGGGACATCTCAGGAGTGAAAAATCTCTCAGATGATATCATTGTTTATGGAAAAAACCAAACAGATCACGACAGAAACCTGAAACGTACCCTAAAGAGACTCGATGAGAGTGGGGCAAAACTCAACAAAGAAAAATGTCTCTTCTCTGTCAAGGAGCTAAGATTCTATGGTCATGTATTTGGAGAGACTGGAATTTCTCCAGACTTGGTGAAAATTCAAGCCATCAGTGACTCTGCTCCACCAGCGTCTGTGACTGAAGTCCGGTCATTTCTGGGCATGACACAGTATGTTGCCAGATTCATCCCAGGATATGCCACTATCACAGAACCCCTAAGGAATTTAACAAAGAAATCCACAATCTGGAAATGGGGAAAACATGAGCAAAGTGCTTTCAACAAATTAAAAGAAACACTCACCAGTAGTAAGGTCATGTCATATTTCAACCCCAACAAACCAACAGAAATCCTGGTGGATGCCAGCCCAGTAGGGCTAGGAGCAATCCTTATGCAGGAAGGCCGCCCTATTTGCTATGCAAGTCGAGCTCTCACAGAAACAGAGCAGAAATACTCGCAGACTGATAGAGAATATCTAGCAGTTGTGTATGGAGTTGAACACTTCCATATCTATCTGTTTGGGGCCAATTTTACAGTCATCACAGACCACAGGCCACTCATTGGAATCATGAACAACAGAAAACCCACCACAGCCAGGCTAGAGAGATGGCGTTTACGCCTAATGCCATACAGCATGGATCTGGTGTACAGACCTGGACGTGATGAAAACAACCCTGCTGACTACATCAGCAGACACCCCTATGAAATAACCAGACGTGATAATGCAGGAGAAACATATATCGCTTACATTGTGGAAAATGCAATACCCAAATCTCTCACAATGAGAGAAGTGAAATCTGCTATTGAAAAGGACCAACAACTCCAAAAGGTGATGCAAGCCATACAAACTAGCCGTTGGATGGATCCAGAAATAAAGGATTTCAGCAGATTCAAGGATGAATTTTCCATTTACGATGGACTTATCCTCAGACAAAACCGCATAATTATACCCGCAGCTCTACGACAGAAGACTATAGCCATTGCCCACCAGGCTCACCAAGGCATAGTCAAAACAAAACAATGCATCAGAGAGAAAAGTGTGGCTCCCTGGAATTGATAGGTTCGTAGAAGATACAGTGAAATCATGCATACCGTGCCAGGCATCTCACCCAGGCCACAATCCACGTGAACCTCTACAACCCACACTACTACCACCAGAACCATGGAGTTCCCTTGCCATTGATTTTGCTGGTCCTTTTTCCCTCAGGTGACTACTTACTTGTAGTCATAGATGAATACAGCCGGTTCCCTGAGGTAGAAATAATCTCATCCACCTCAGCAAGGACAGTCCTGCCAAAACTTGAAGCCATTTTCTCACGCCAAGGATCCCTACCTCAGTCAAGACTGACAATGGCCCTCCATTCAATGGGGAAGAATTCTCCAGTTCAATGCGTGAGTTTGGCATACAACACAAAAAAATAACACCCCTCTGGCCAGAAGCAAATGGGGAGGTAGAACGCTTCATGGCCACTCTTAACAAAAACATTAGATCCTGTGTAGCTGAGGGCACACACACATGGAAGTCTCAACTACCCACATTTCTTCGGATGTATAGGGGCACTCCTCATACTTCCACCAAAATTTCCCCTTTTGAGGCACTCACAGGTAGAAAGATGAAAGTCGGTCTACCCATCTTACCCTCTCAAACTTCAACCCTGAACTACCCACATGGTAACATAAATGAAAAGATTTCTGCCAATGACTACATCAGCAAACAGAAGATGTGTGAGTATGCTGACAGGAAAAGGAAGACCTGCCCCTCAACACTTCAACCTGGTAAATTTGTTCTAGTGAAACAACAACAAAAAAACAATTAACACCACCATTTTCCCCTCTGCCTTACATGATCACTCAAAAGAAAGGCAGCATGATAACAGCACAACGTGGCCAAAACAATATAACACACAACTCATCCCACTTTAAACCCATAAAAAGCTTATCACCTACTTCTTTTGAAGGAGAAGAGGATGAAAATGATGAAACTGAGTCTGAGAGACATTACCATCCAGCCCACATACCATCTTCAGCTGAAACCAGCACTGATGCTGCACCCACATCATCACCAATTCCCACCCCTTTGTTTGAACCGGAGACTTCATCACCCACAACCCAAGAGATCGTCTCTAGACAACACTCCAGAGCACAACGCCAAAGACACCCCCCGATTTACCTAAAAGACTACAAAACTTGATTGGACATTATATAAAAAAAAAAAAAAACGTCTCTAACTTGAAGTCCTCATCCAAAGTAAGGGAGGATTGTTGTGTCCATTAAGAACAATAAACTACTATTCAGTTTAAATAGGGTTATTGCCCTTATATTAAAAAGGAACTCTCTGGATTGGGGTCCCTTTATAGGGACTTCCGGTACCGCCTTTTGTAAATAAACTCGTCATTTATTTTCCTCCGAGTTTGTGGCTCATTTTAAACACAATAAATAGGACATACAAAAATCACTAATAATCAAATAAAGTGAATTGAAACTTTTGGGATACATAATAAAGAAAGAAGGCTTGGAAAATTTAATACTTACAGGGCACAAGCAAGAAAAACAGAAGAATACAGGATGGAACTTACTTGGAAAGTTTGAATGAATAGAGCAACAAATCCTACAAAGAAAAAAAGGTTCACAAAAGACAGTTTTTGATATGGAGAGTCATAACCATCCACAATTGGAAGGGACATATGGCAGAGAGAGGTAATGAAATTTAATGTTATTCCAGCAAAATAAAAGTTGGTGATAAACTTTTCTTTTTTAATGTAGAGAATGCTAGGTAATTTTACTTATATATATATATATATATATATATATATATATATATATATATATACCAAAGTAATTCGTATGCCTAATGTCCTCATATATAGTCAGTTTGACAGTGGACAAAAGACTGTTGGACAGTGGTGTCTTTGGTATAAAAACCTCTCAGCTGTCAATGTGCCTCATACTAACTTTGAGTGAGTTGCCCTGAATTGAAATAAATGTACATATTTGTGTTAGAGTAGTAACAGAAATTTCGAAATCAGCTATATTGGTTGACTAAGAGATGAAAGACAACAGAGAAAAGTGTCAGCTAATGTTCTTGTGGCTATGTCCCAAGATACTCACTGTTGCATAATATCTGAACTTGTTTGCAGGTCACTAATTAAGACTGAAGTTTTATATAAAACACAACCATAAAAAGTGAATGGGGTTTGTCAGATAATAATACATAGCAAATCGATGGGAAAGTCCATCATCATATATATATATATATATACCCAAGTAATTCATATGACGTTTCCAAGTTTCCATAACTTCCTTTTTCTTCTCTTCTTCTGCAATTTCATGTTCTCTGTCTGTCTTCATCTTCAGTACCTTCAAGAACAAGTCTATAATTAATTAAGCATCTGCGATTATCGTATATTACGTATTCATTAAAGCCATCCATATTTCCCTGAAAAATTTAAAAAAAGGTTTGTTATATATTATAAAACAAATAATATCAGGAATGAAAATCCCTTCTCCTTAAAGATGATAAATTCTATAAAAATATAAAAACATGATGCAACATATTCAGCAACATGGTGACACTACATAGGATCACATTACATTCAAAGTAATATGTTAGTTTTAAGTGTGGTCAAATGAAAGCAAAACACTTAATCAAGTCATACAATTTATATGTATGTATGATTTAATGATGAAAACATATAAAAAATTCACTAGCTAGCCTCAATGGTTTGTGGGTACAAATACAAGTGGGATGAGTTCCTTGTTTGACGAAAAAGAAATTTCATTTGTTATCCAACTTGGCAGTTTCTCTTCAACCAACATTTAAAAGAAAAAATAAAGAAGGAACTTAAAAAACCAAAATTAAAAATATCTTGGTTGCATCTTAACAGACCTTTGTCTTCTATATGCCATTTCTCTTTCCTGTCCTTTGTAACTCCTAATAAATTTTGTCTTTTTGTTATCTCTCCTAAACCTTGTTCTGTCATCTACTTACATAAGCTCACTATATAGGTCATGTGCCATTTTATGATGTCCCTTTTGCCCTCAATCACTCCAGTGAGTATCAAATTTTCCAAACCCTCTTTCCTCATTATTTTCCCTAAAAACTATCTCTTGCTAATGTTAAGTATCAGTGTCCTTTTTGTTTCCACTTTCACTAAAATTCTGTTGTTGCTCACATGTTCAGTACATGGTATTCTCAGTATCCTTCTGTAGAACCACATTTCCATGGCTTTAAGTATGCTCTTCATATTTAAGGAAATTGTCCAGCATTCACTGACATATAGGAGGACTGATATTACATAACACTTCAATACTTCTTTTGTTTCTAATGTTTTCTTTTATTTCTTAATATGTTGCTTAGTTCTTGGAATGTATTTTTCGCTATCTCAATGTATATTTACCTTTTTATAAAGTTCAAATCAATTGGCAATTAGCCAATGTTTTACCAACTATTCCAAACAACTGTATTTGCCAGATTCACCAATTGCTTTAGCCAAGGTGCTTAATGTTCACAATTCATTTAAGATTTCTTCATCAATTAGCACTTAGCAGGCAATAAATAATCTATTAGCAGATTTTCTAGTGATATTTAGAAAAATTAGCAACAATTTAAAAAGTTTCCAAAATTGTTTTTCAAAACAAAAAAAAAATAGAAAAGCAATATAGTAGAAATTAACATATCATTGCTTCAGTTTCAGGCATTGGATTTCTTTTCATTAGACAACCTTGATCCTAGATCAGAATCATTAAAAAACTGAAAAATTAATACAAAATATAATCTGAGATTTATAATAATTTGAGGAGAAAATCTATAAAGTCTGTTTATTTAAATTTTCTTGTTCTATAGTTCAGAAGAAAAACTTGTTTTCATAGTTATTTATTAATAAAATGGTAAATAAAAGATATTTATTATTGTAGTTGGTTACAATTTTTGTAATTTTGTAAAAATTGAATAAATATTTTAATAAAAAGATTTCTTTTCAAATTTATTTCTTTATAAAATTATAAAGAATAAATCTTTATAAAAGCTAAATAATAAATATCAAATTATACTTGGTTCCCATATTTTTAAAACTTTGTAAATAGTTTGCTGTATTTCAAAACTAATTTAAATTGATTTTTAGCTAAAATACCTGATTAGTACCCTTTTTATTGCAATGTAATTCTCTATATTAAAAAATCTTCCAAAACTAAAATATACTTTTCAGAAACTTTATTTGAGGAATATTAATTTAAGTATAATTAATCTGATTTGAGACAAATATTATTTGCTCTAAGTTTAAAATATTGCAGAAATACATTTTTTTAAGTGTGGTAGCTGTTATAAGAAATTTAAGCTGCTTCAATGGGCATCATCTGCCTTTTAGAAGCAGACAGTGTGTTAGGTTCTTGCTTAATTTTTGGATTTCAAAATATTTTTGGTACGTTTTAATTTGTGACAAATTTATACAGAACATTTATACACAACAAAGATATTGAAAATTCTTCTAAAAACATTTGTGTTCGATGAATTGTACTAAGCTTTTCCATTTATGATTAGTAAATATAGTTTTACTTAATGATCATATCATCTAAAAAGATGAAAATAATCAGATACTCTTTGATATTTAAATTTAACGTTAAATGGATGGACAGACATATATACACTCTCCTTTATTATTATAGATGTTTATACAGTACAACTATGTACTGAATAGTAAACATAAAGAAATTTGAAAATAAGTTCTATATTCTGTACATTAATTTGTTTGCATACTGCAAGTAATATTTTATTTTACACTTTTTCATTTTATTAATTTTGATTTACAAGAGAAAATTTCCCCAATAAAAGTTTCTGACCTGCCTTCAAAACTCAGTGGTTGGATCCTTTTTTTAAAAACTTTTTTTTATTTTATTAGATTTTATAGCTGCTTGTTAATCTGAGGTTATTAAACAAGTCATTAAGTGAGGAGTCACTGTATTTATATTTTTATTGTTAACATCATTTATATATTTTTTTATATTTCCTATACAGTGATCAATGTAGTCTAATATTCAACTCACAAACTATGTCAGTCTATTTAAATGAGACAATTTCATAGAAATGATGCAAACTTAGTTTGTGATGTTCAGTTTACCTGCTAAAATTGAGCTTCAACTTAACACCTCTGGGAGTCAATTTATATGCTAGGAATTAAACTTAAGAATTCATAAAATCAATATAGAAATTAATGCCAATTATGAAAAGAAAAATAAATCACTGCTTAATCATATCACATTTTGGAAGAAGGTTTGATCTGCAAAACATTTAATGTTACTCAATTAAGGAAAAGCTCACTTTACTATAAATATTAATTGTTTCCCCATATCTTGATGCGATCATTAATAGGTGTCCTATGCAAAATTGAACTAAAAATGTTTGACACATAAAAGCAAGACATCCTCACGGCTCAAGGGAAGCAACTCTACATTGATTTTATTTTTGTACTTATGTAAAATAAATAATGATAAAAAAAAAAGTTAAAAAATAAAATATATAAAAATCAATAAAAATAATTAAATATATAATTATTAGATAAAATATTCTTATCCAGCTATTGATTGATTAATGACATTTACAAATTTAGTGAAGAAGTGAATATATGTGATAAAAAGATACAAGCCCAATGATCTGTTAATATTTTTCTTTTATGTTGTTATCATGATGTATAAAAGCTTAAATTTTGATTTTTATCTGACTTTCTTTGATTGTCACAAACAATTGGATGCATGTTCTTCATATTATTTTTTTTTTCAAAATTCTTTATCACATCAGATATGTTTAGGTGTGAGTAACTGCAAACACAAATTACATAAGCCAGACATTTTGTTTTTTTATATTCCAACTTTTAATTTTCTATAGTTTTTGAAACCCTATTACAGCACTTTTGTCATTACACTAGCAATTAGTGAATACTAATACAAGCATGACACACTGCGACAATAGTCATGGGTAATGGATAATTATTCACCATAATCTAAGTTTTTATTGAATTTTAGAGAATTTTGGCTCTAAATTTAGTATAGGTGTCACTCATATTTTCTGATTGTGTCATGTATGGGTGACCATACCTAAAAAATTCAGTACATTTTTCCACATAGAAAAAACAATTCAAAATTCTTTTTAAAACATTTGGGATCATCAGATTGTAATAAGCTAGTTTTCCTCTATCGTTCCAGTCTTTAAGAACTCAAATGAACTGTCTGACTCTTTGAACTATTGACCTATTAATCTTCTACCTCTTTTTGGCAAACTACTAGAAGCCTTAATCAACTCTGAATTGATTAAGCATCTCACATTACATATTATTAAAGAAAATTTTCACCCTTCAGCAGGAATCGAAACTGCTTCCCTCTCAGTTTTGTATTGAAACAAACAAACCAATAAGCAGATATGATAAACCTTTCAAAAATTCTTGAAAAGCATGAAATTGACTGACTGTTCCTTCATGTCAAAGTGGTAAGGCACACTGGTCAAAAAGGTGGCTCCCTCTGCCCTGAGTGATACAGGTTTGATTCCTGCTAAAGGGCTTATTTTTTTCTTTAATAGGATTTCTCAAATATTCAGACTGGTAACAATTGATTCAATATACTCTTTCCACTTCATATAAGTGGGAAACATTACTCTGAGAAGGCACAAAAAGTTACTCCACTGGAAGTAAGCATCAGCCATTCAATTAGGCTTTCTGAGAAATTAAATTCTTCACATTAATGAATTTTGAAGTGATTAAAGTAAGTGGCAATCTAAACATGCCAAGTCAGGTGATCACAAGAGATGTAGCAGGACACCCCAACCTAAAGTTGTTATATGTCTGTTTTGATCGAGATTATGTGTGTGTGTGTTGTATTTTGACTTTTGCATCTGGTTATTTTGTTAATATAATTAATATTAATTAAATGTACCAATAAAAATTCTCTGCCAGTTTTGTATTCAACATACAAACAATTTTAAACTAAAAGAAATAAAGAAAAAAAATACCTTACTCAAAAGAAATAAAAGAAAAAAAACCTTACTCACGGATTTGTTTTCAGCTTTCGAAATACAAGACTTCCATTTTTTTCTCTCTTCACGCAGCAAATTCTGACAAAGATTTTAAAAAGTGTTTGTGATTAGATTTTAATTTCTTGTTGTCTGTGATTAGAAATTAATGCAATGAGGGAGGTGCTTCGACAGATTTATAATCCTTGAGACCAAATATTCCTCAATTCCTCAATTCTTCTTTTGCACTCTGACAGAGACACAAGATCACCAGCCAACAAGAAGGTGGCAAGCTTGTTATTTGCTGACTAATGTCCTACCACTAACATCAATGAGAATATAGTATCTTCAGCCAGTGTGAAGCAACATCTGGTAGTAAACTTTGGGCTGGTGAGCAAGGAAATGAAATGAACAAAGGACTGCTTGGCTTGAAAGTCTGGGGGGAGTGATGAGAACAAGGACCCCAGCATGCCTCATGTTCTAACTCAAAGTAGTGTGTTCTCACTGTGCGGAAAGCTGATTGGATACTTTTTAATAGGTGGATGGCTTAGAGTAACAGCAGAATTCATTAAGAGATGAGCAGCAGCAGGGAAGATAAGGTGGATGATGTTCCTTTAACCACAATGATAAAAGTCATTGTAAGAGTGCACCAAGAGAACCCTGTGTGAGCCAAATGGTGTGTTGATGGGCCCAAGATTAATATGTGGGTTGATGAAAGCACTCTGGATATTGGAGGCTCACTGGAGCATAATGAACCAACTGTGGAAGATGCAAGCTGGTTGCCCAAAGAGAAAGATGTACAGCATATAAATTTAGCAGAGCTAAAAAATTTTTAAAAAAAATGTTAATATGGCATTGATGTGGGGAAACAACAGTGTTGAACATTTTTACTGACTTCTTGTGCATACAAATAAATCATGGACACCCTCACAGGAAAGGCCAGGATATGTATGAAAGTCGCAAGCAAAATGTTTGTCAGATGGCTCAATATGCTCAAAAAGCTGGACAAAGAGTACAAATTTTTGGTGGATATAACCAAGCTCATGGTCTGATGGGAGTGCCACAGTAATGGCTTGATTTGATAAAAAAAAATAGATATTTTCCATTCCAAAACTATGTTTGAGATCAATGTATTTTAAGGGGGAAAATTATAATGAAAATGCTATGTGATAATTAGGAACATATTTCAATAAAATCAACTGGAATGTTTTTTGCATGTTTCCTAAAAACATTGCATATACTTTACTTACATAAGACAATTTAGTCAGTGGTTTTCCTGTTTTCATTTCTCGTCTCATGCGAATCTCAAGTCGAATTTTTTCAATGTTACGAATTTCTTGCTCTACTTTTGCATCCTCTTCATCATCATGTTTGCATGAGTCAACTGCAAAAAATGGCAAAGTACGTTGAATATGAAACACTTTTATTTTGGTTTGTTAGGCTGCTTTATGTTGGGTTACTGAATGATGAATATTACATTTAAAAGTTAATAACAATGGTCAATCAGAGTAGACTCATTAACCTTTTCATTTTAGGAGTTAAACAAGCAGTTAATGATAACATGAGATATTAATATATCTAAGGATTTTATATGTTTAATATATATGAGGATTTTACTTCCTTTTATACAAACAATTGGTAACATTTGTCTTTCATCCAAAGCAAAACTCAAGTGCTACTCAATGTCAAGGGCTACAGTCAAAATTGCAATAGATTTATATGATGCATTTGAGTAATTGTAAAGGCAAGAGAAACACAGGAAAGTAGGGAGTGTGGGAATTAGTAGACAAATTCTTGTAATGAAGAGAGACCAAGGGGTGGTCATGGTCACCATTTGTATTTCCGTCATCACGTATGTGCAAGAGAAAGACTTTAAAAAAAACTATTGTTGATTTACATGTGCAAGCTTGTAACTGATATAAACAAAGAGAATTTTTGCCGAACCATTGTGACCATATCAGACTGTGGTATTCAAAAGCCAAAGGTATTTTCTCATGCAGCTTATTTTTGGTCTGAATGTGTTGCCACTCATCATGAAATCTATTGCTAAAGACCAGATAATCAAGAGTGCCATGTTGGCATATGTTGACAACATTTACATCAATCAAAATTTAGTATCGGCAGCACATGTAAGGAAGCATTTATCCAATTACAGATTTGTTTGTAAGGATCCAGAACATTTGTATCGGGGACCTTGGCCTACAGGTCTGGAGGGAGAACAGAACCCTCTGATGGAAGTGAGGAAATGTAGTCCCTGACGTTCAGCATGTTGTTACCTGTCGAAGCGTGTTCTCCCTGTTCCTGTGTGAGAAAATTGTGGGTCATTTTCCAGTCTGTGCCTGGCTCAGAGTGGCCACTGGATTCATCAAGTACCGAGCAAACAAAATATCCAGCAGCTGGGATGCCACACTCTCAGATGCCCCTTTAGAGATGATGATACGAGAGACAGTTGTCAGAGTGAAGCAACCAGGAGATGGATACATGGCTCAACAAAGTTCCTTTGCTACAATGGTTTTGTTGGAAAATAATGGAGCAGTGATTGAGGATTCATGCTAGTTGTATCCAGACAACAACCCTGAGCACATCAATTTGGCTGAGCTTGATTCAGTGGTAAGGGCATCAAACTAGATCTACAATGGAAAGCCAAAGTGCTTTATCTGAAAACTGACTTATTGTGAATGTATCACTGGCTCAAGAACAGTTTGACAGGAAAGGCAAAGAGTCACACACAAAGGTGGCAGCAGAGTGCTGGTTAGGAGGGAGCTTCAGACACTCTTACAGTTAACTGAAGAATATGGGCAAACCACAGGCATAACACTAGTGAGTTTAGAACAGAAGAGAGCGAATGAACAAAAATGTTTCAAGATCATGATGTTTGCACTGCTGCTATGAGTGAGTGCCAGATATTGGACATTCACCAGCACAGTGAGCATCCTGGGATGAGTGAAGCGAATAGTCTACATTGCACTATGAGTTAGTCCATCCATGACCAAGGCAGCGGTGAAATCAGTGGTAAGATAATGTGTGGAATGTCAATCAATCAATCCAGCATCAGTACACTGGAGGAAAGGAAGATTAAATGCAGACAACAATTAGAGCCAGCTGAGAATGGACATTACCATCTATAATGGCGGACACTTCCTGAAAAAAACACAAGAATACAGGATGGAACTTACTTGGCAAGTTTGAATGAATAGATGAACAAATCCTATGAAGAAAAAAGGAGTCACAAAAGACAGTTTTTGCTATGGAGAGTCATAACCACCCACATTCAGAAGGGACATATGGCAGAGAGAGGGAAAGAAATTTACAGTATTTCTGGCAAAATAAAAGTTTTCTGTTTTAATTTAGAGAATGCCAGGAAATTTTAATCTCTCTCTCTTTCTCTCTCAAACTCTCTCTCCTCTATATATATATATATATACACACACACACACACACACATATATTATAAGGGATATGAATGCTGACCAGAACACTACCGCAGTTTCGACCAATACAATCTTCTTAGGTGGTTTGTTCAGCAAATCAATCAAATTGAGCTCAACAACTTGAGCACCTACATTTGAAACCAGAAGAAGTGAAGGGAGATGTAGCAACTTTATCTGGGCTTATATATATCTTTAACTTTATCTGGGCTCAGAAACTTTCAAAATAATCTACATTCCAGACTAATTAATCCCTTCAAATCAGAGTTACGCCTAATTTCTAAAAATATCCTAAAAAGAATAAACATTTCTATATTAGAAAAAATACCCCTTAAACCTTTGGAAAGATTCGTCAAACACCATTAACTGGTTCCAAAATCTAAAATCTAAAACTAAAGCTTCTTTTATTCAATTAGATATTATCAACTTCTACCTCTCCATTTCTAAAAATTTATTAGAAAATAGCCTAAGTTTTAATAAAAATTATACTAAAATTACTGACAAAGAAATAAAAATCATAATGGCTTCTACGAAGTCTATAAGTCAACTTATATTAAATACCTAATTTATTTGTAGAGAAGTTGAATATTTAAATTACTAACAAGCATAAAATTAGTTTCTTCATGGAGTTTCTTAAACATTTAAATTACTATCAAACATTAAATTCTGTTTTTATCTAAATTGCTAAAACTATACCACCCCTTCTCCTTCCTTCGAAAACCTTAAGCATATATTTTTTCTCTTTACTTCCCCTTTTTCTTTTTTCCCTCCTCCCCTTCCACATATCATTTCCATTGAGTTGACCAATTAAATAGGTCAATGTCTGATCCTTAACCCCTCCTTCCTCAATATTAAGTATTATAAAGAAATATAAAAATAAATTTTAAAATTCTCCCTTCCATCCCTAAACTCGACCATGTCTCTCATACCATTCCTTGCTACCTTCTATATTAACTTATATAAGCTTAATACTGCCCGTCAAAAGTGTAAATTTTAATTTCATTTTTCGTCTCACTTTTTGAAAGTGATATCTGAAGATCCAGGATGACTTAAAAGTCCCTGGTGAAATAAACTATTACAATGAAATCTCAAAACACTTCACTGAGTAATAAAAATCTGGAATCCTTTGAAAATGATATGCTCAATCTAATTAAAAAAATCAATTTCAAAAAATCATCAAACCATTTCCAATCCAAAATCTCTAAAAACATTAAAGACATAAAGAATTCTAACAAATTATGGATTAAGGCAGATAAATCTAAAAACATTCTTAAAATTAAACCTTACGATTACCACACAATCATTAGTAATAAAATGACATGTTTATATAAGAAAGACAAAGACCAGAACATTTTAGACTCTATTAATAATGACATAACTAAATTTGCCAATAAGTGTAAAGTTGCTGACAGAATTGGGACCACTCATATAAAAGATGCATGCCTCCTATTTAAAGATGATAACCCACTAATAAAACTAATAAATAATAATCACTAATAAAATGAGAGTCACTTTCATACAATTTGACATAATCAATTTCTGCTTTTCCATCTCTGAAGAATTATTAATTAACAGCATAAATTTTGTGAGGAATTACATCATTATTACTGATGATGAACTAAATATTATAATAATAATTTTGATAAAAATCCCTTATCAAAAATTTTTAATATATAAACACTTAAAATTAGTTACTCTTGTGTTAGAAATATAGAAAGAATCATCTCACCCCACAATAGTAAACTCCTAAATAAATTTCTAAACAGTGAAGCAATGGAAATTACAGAAGGAAAATTGAGCGTCCTGTTGAAGGTAAATGCATGTTTAAAAACATAGTATATGAGGCAAACATTTTTCCCAAAGAAAATGTAGGCCTAAAGAAGGCCTACATTGGAATTTCTGCAGGGAATTGGAAACAACAATTTTATAATCACAGGCATTCCTTCAAGAACAGGTCTCTTAAAAACCAAACAGCTTCATCCAGGCAATATTGGGATCTTATTGACAAAGGTCTGACACCACATTTGGAGTGGAAATTCATATTCAGAGCCTTGACCCCTAAGAACTTCAGGGACCACTGTAATCTATTTCTTCTAGAGAAAATACTTATAATAAAATAAATAAATTTATATATCTTCCAGTGTGTATCTTCATTGATTTAATGTTGTTACAATTGTTAACAGGAATATGTGTATTATTTTCTCTCATGTATAAGTATGGTGTATATATTGGTATGTGTTACAATATGCATACTAATTAGGTACAGATGTATCTGTAGTTAGGTATATGTATGCATGTGTATATGTAGCGAATATGTATATGTATGTACTGTACATTATATATCTATATAATTATTTTTTAAAAATATGATTCCATCGCAACACAGAAATTACCATGTTTCAAAACTGGTCATCCGTATTCAAGTTTAATTTCAACTTAAACTTATTATTAAACTTAATTTTAACCTTAACTGTTGGGTGCTGTTTCATCCTCAAGCGATGTTTGAAACAACTAAGCAACAAAATGTTTTTCTCCCACGTATAAGTATAGTGTATATATAGGTGTGTTACAATATGCATATTAATTAGATACAGATGTATCTGTAGTTAGGTATATGTATACATGTGTATATGTAGTGTTATATTCCATATTTAGATGCATGGGTGATGTGAAAACAATGTGGGCAAAATACTGTGTTTGGTTGCAAACAATGAAATTCAGAATCGAAAGAACAAGAAAGACTGTAAATATATTTTATAGTCTTTTTTAGTGAGGAAATAAGAACAAGTAAAAGGTTCATATTTAAGAAGTTGAATGTCAGTGGTAGTGGCAAGTAAAGTTCGTGGAGTTAACTTGACTTATGGAAGGGGAAAGGTACCCTTTGACAAAGCGTCGGACGAGTTCATTAGCAGCAGCGGTCACATGCTTCGTTTTGGTCCGACCCGGGCCAGTGTGTCAGGGCGGCGACATGACCCTTCTACCTCCACCGTTGAATGGGACACCTTTTGACTTTCCCGTGTTGAACTTATACACGCCTATCGGCTCCAAATGGCAATTTTTTGAATACGCGGGAGACGGTCCAATTGGTTGATTTAATTCTTTTCATTTTTTTTTTGAGTTTATCCCAAACGGAAGTATCTGCGTCGAGCCTATGCGTAGACATGCAGTTTTCATTTCGAGTCGGGGACTCATGATGGTAACTTCCGTTTATCGAAGCAGGGTAAGATCTCATCTTGTAACAGTAGTGAATATGTATTTGTATGTCCATATATATATTTATATATGGGTTCTGTTTCATCTCCAAGTGATGTTTGAAATAATTAAGCAACAAAATGTTTCACTTCTTTATAGTTTTGAAATGGAGGTGTAATCTGGGATTAGTTTTTCAGTGAATGGTATTTGTATATGTGTTTATAGATGCATGTATATGTGTATATATATGATTATTATGTTTATGTTTGAATGTATATGTGGTTGTATATATATGTATATGTGGACGTATGCATGTATGGGATCTATGCATATATGTCTATATATTTATATATATATATATATATATATATATATATATATATATATATATATATATATATATATATATATATATATATTTGCCTGTGGATGTATATTTAAGTGTATCTCTATCTATAAAAGGCAGGATGTGTGTGTGTGTGAATGCACACCAAAATTTACATGCACAGCTAGCGGGAAGGCCAAGACCGACTTTGCATTTCCCAACTCCCATTGATAGTGGAAATAATCAATTTTTTCATGGCAGTTTTCATGTAGTTTGCGGCCATTTTCTACTGGCCAGAGTGAGATCCTATAGCTGGCTGCCATGAATAGGCAGGAAGATTCTATTGGCCAGCGTGAGAGCCAACAGCTGACTGACATGAATGTTAACTAGCATGCAAAAAAATCAATAGCTGCATTCGTCACAAGTGGGAAAAATTTAAATCTGCATGGTACTTTGTTCCAATTGGCTCATTCGCTTGCTTAAACTCAACGTTGATTCTGATTCCGCAGAACTGGGTTGGGTGTGAAAAAGTATTTGTTGTTAACATTCTTTTTTCATTCAGTTTTTCCAGTTACGAGTTTAAAGTTGATCGTTTTGTGTTCATTTTGTTTAGTTCTTTTTTCATAACATATTTAATGTTTAGTATAGAGCTTAGAAAAATTTCGCAGTGTGAGATAGGCAAGAAGTAAGGCATGTAGCAACATCGGCACAGCAAAGGGTGCTTCTTTAAAGGCAAGGAAGGGCAAAAATACTTTAAGTCAAGTGATAGCAATTGCTGTATGAGTCGTACGATTTTTGAATCAAGCACGGGCAACGCCGAGCCATGCTGCTAGTATATATATATATATGTATGTGGATGGGTATATATATATATATATATCTATATATCTATATCTTTATGTATGTGTATATATATATATATATATATATCTTTATGTATGTATATATATATATATATATATATATATATATATATATATATATATATATATATCTTTATTATATATATATATATATATATATATATATAAATGGTTGTATGTTTATGTGTATGTAGGTATATATGTATAGATGTATATGGGGATATGGATATATGGGTATATATGTGTCTTTCGTGTATGTATGTATGTATAGATGTATGAGACAGATACGTTTGGATATATATATATATATACGTATATGCGTGTTTGTGTGTATATATATATTTTATTATAAATATGTAATAGAGTAGGTATATGTTTGTAGTATAAGTGTATGTATGTATGTATAGATAGATAGGTGTAGGTGTGTGTTTAAAATACAATTCGGTGTGTTTGACAATATGATAACGTGTTTACATTTTGGCATATATGAGATTACCTGATATTCATGGGTACATGTATTTGTGTGAATACATGTGATGTGTATATATTATATGTACATATGTATGTGGATGTATATGTGTATATGCATGCATATATATATATATATATATATATATATATATATATATATATATATATTTTGTGTGTATGTATGTAAAGATACAGATGACTTTAAAGGTAATTATACAGGTAAAATTTATTTGTACTTATGTAGTGTATACACATTTTGGCATTGTGGGTACATATGTATATATGAGAATAGATGTAATTGTAGATATTTTAGTATATTATATGTTAGGATATTATATTATATATCTATACAAATGGGTGAAAGTGGTTATAGATCTCTAATTTGTATATAGAGAATATGTATAAGTATGTGTACATATATATGGGAATATACGAATATATAGGGCCAACTTGAATTACTCTTAACCATATATGTTATGTTTTTATTTTATTATATTGTTTACTATTTTAGACAAATATTTTAGACACATAATATCGCAAATATGACTGTCATTGTTACAATGTATATATCTAAAATGGAAACAGGTTTAAGAAAATATATAATTTTGACCAAATTAGGTACTATATGTTAATCTATATAAAACAGGTTTCATAGAAATATAATTTCGGATAATTTATGAACTAAACTCGTAACTTTAATAGATATACACTGGAGAATTATGATTCCATTTATTTTACATTTAATTTAAAGTACCTTTGTACCATATTAAAATGTAATAAATACTTCCTGCTTAATATATTTTATAAATAGTATAAACAAAGTTTCTCTGGATATCTTAATAATTAATCATTTATTTAAATCTCACAGGTGATTTAATTTAAATCTCTTGGGGAATTATATTAGGAAATTTTACTATTCTACGGTAAATTCTAAATATTTTTAAAATGTCCTTAACCAAACACTATTTTTAAATAAATTTATAAATGTTTCTTAAATTGAATATATATACGTCAAATTCTTAGCCAGTAAGTGACACAGACAGATTACCATTTTTATTTTTTTTATTATTTATACATATATTATTATTATTATTATTATTATTATTATTTTTAGAAATATACATTCATTGCAACACTGAAATTCTTATGTTTCAAAACTGGAACCTCAATTTAAATTCACTCATACAAATTAAATTTAAAATGCAAAGTTCCATTCCATAATCAAGCAATGCTAAGAATAACTTTTTAGAAATTGATTCACTTAATTTATAAGTACAGACAAATTTGATATTTTGAGATGTTGGGGTTTAGGAAAATTCCATTTTTTTATTTTAAGGGAGTTATTCATATATATATATATATATATATATATATATATATGTGTGTGTGTGTGTGTGTGTGTGTGTTTATGTGTGTACAAATATATAGAAAAATAGGAAAGAACTGTTAGGTTAATAATCTGAAGTTCTTTAGTATTTTTGTCTTTATTTTTAAAAAACTGTGCTCAATACATAAGTAGAGCCGATACACACACACACCAAACACGACAGGAAAGTCCAGCATATTTACTATAAAAGACAGTCGTTGGACAGTTGTGGCTCAGGTATAAAATCAAGCTAAAATGTAACCTCTCAGCTCTCAATGTGCCACATACTAATTTTGAATGAGTAAAAAAAATATAGAAAAAATAATAATAAAAATATAAAATATTTCTGAATACAAATATATATATATATATATATACCCAAGTGATTCATATGACGTTTCCAAGTTTCCATAAATTCCTCTTTTTTCTCTGCTTTTGCAATCTCATCTTCTTTGTCGCTGTCTTCATCTTCAGTACCTTCAAGAACAATTCTGTAATTAATTAGGCATCTGCGATTATCGTATATTACGTATTCATTGAAGCCATCCATATTTCCCTGAAAAATTTAAAAAAAGGTTTCTTATATATTATAAAACAAATAATATGAGGAATGAAAATCACTTCTCCTTAAAGATGATAAATTCTATAAAAATATAAACACAAGATGCCAACATATTCAGCAACATGGTGACAATACATAGGATCACATTACATTCAAAGTAATATGTTAGTTTTAAGTGTGGTCAAATGAAAGCAAAACACTTAATCAAGTCATACAATTTATATGTATGTATGATTTAATGATGAAAACATATAAAAAATTCACTAGCTAGCCTCAATGGTTTGTAAGTACAAATACAAGTGGGATGAGTTCCTTGTTTGACGAAAAAAGAAATTTCATTTGTTATCCAACTTGGCAGTTTCTCTTCAAATAACATTTAAAAGAAAAAATAAAGAAGGAACTTAAAAAACCAAAATTAAAAATATCTTGGTTGCATCTTAACAGACCTTTGTCTTCTATATGCCATTTCTCTTTTCCTGTCCTTTGTAACTCCTAATAAATTTTGTCTTTTTGTTATCTCTCCTAAACCTTGTTCTGTCATCTACTTACATAAGCTCACTATATAGGTCATGTGCCATTTTATGATGTCCCTTTGCCTCAATCACCCAGTGAGTATCAAATTTTCCAAACCCTCTTTCCTCATTATTTTCCCTAAAAACTATCTCTTGCTAATGTTAAGTATCAGTGTCCTTTTTGTTTCCACTTTCACTAAAATTCTGTTGTTGCTCACATGTTCAGTACATGGTATTCTCAGTATCCTTCTGTAGAACCACATTTCCATGGCTTTAAGTATGCTCTTCATATTTAAGGAAATTGTCCAGCATTCACTGACATATAGGAGGACTGATATTACATAACACTTCAATACTTCTTTTGTTTCTAATGTTTTCTTTTATTTCTTAATATGTTGCTTAGTTCTTGGAATGTATTTTTCGCTATCTCAATGTACTTTCAGATTTTAATGTTGTACTCTGTTAAAACACTTCCCAGATATTTAAATTATTGTAGTTTGATTTTGATATCACTAATTTTCATACTTTTCATCCCTTTTGCTAACAACCATACATTCCGTCTTTTTGCAATTGATATTTATTCTTTTCTTCTGTAGGAGTTCTTGTACCTACCATAATTCATTTGTTTTTTATTAATATTCCTTTAATCTTAATTTTAGATGCTTTTTATCACAACTACTCAAAGTGTCAGCCATCAGTATATATTTAGTACTCTTCTGTACTAAATACAAGTACCAGCATGGTTAAATTATTTACTTCAATCATCCACCTTGGAATGGAACTTATTTAGAATGGCATCTTTATTATTTCCTGATACAATTATCCAAAATATGGCATGTTGATTAAACTTATATAAAACTTCCCAAAAGTATTACTCTTCCAGACAAAACTTGTATTTCATACAAATAATATCCCCCAAAGTTTATTTTACCATTTACTTAATTTCTCTCTTTTATTTCATATCTTCTTTTTATGAATTAATTTAAAACAATAAACATTCAAAATATAATATCCAATTTCTAATTTGCAGCATAATTTTTGATCAATTGCTTCTAAGAGAACAAATCTTGTTTAAGAAACACATGTGTTGCAAGAAAGTTCTTCTTCAAGATGTGGAATCTCCAAACTTCCTTTCCTTTGTAACTAAGAGCTACAAAGGACATAAACAGAGATTAGGAGAGATAGCAGAAAGACAAAATTTACTGTCTCTTTACTTTAAAAATATTTTCCAACCAAGTATGTTTAAAAGTGCACTATTTAAAACCATTTAACATATAGGCCTACTGCCATTTTTAAGTCAAAATAAACATGAAAAGTGATTAAACAACAAATTACTTTGACAGAATCATAATAGTCTCCATTTTCTTTTTCAGGTTCTTGTTTAAGTTGAGGATCTGCTTTTCCATCGGGGTACTCCTATGAAAAACAAAAATAAAACATTCCATTATTTTTCATATGCAAATAAAATTTTTCATACCAACTCTTTTCTGTTTTATGCAACTTAAATTTTCAGGGTCTGTAATGTAATCGATCCTGACCAGTCATATCAACTTTCTCACCAACATGACATAGATTCTCTCTGTCTTTCCTGCAAATATTTTCAAGGCAACAGTTCTGAGGAACTTTTTCGCTTGTGCCCTGACTACATAAATTTAAATGTGCTACTTGATTGGCAACTAGGTCCCATTGTTTTACTGTTCAACTAGCTAAATGAAATGTAACAGTTTCTTTTCTCACACTTTCCACCCATGGAACTCCCTTTGAACTTCTTGCTTCCCTGATAACTATAATTTTCAAAAATTTAAATGCAATGTCAATCACCATCTTATGTCATCTGGAACCCTGTTCCATTTTTGCCCTTTCTTCAATCATTCCCAATCTGATTCTCTTTCATTTCCTGTAATCCCCTGTATTCTAGTGGCATTACCATCTTGCTTGGGGTGAAATGATTAAAAAAAAAGGTAATGTTTATTAATGTAAACAAACTGTGAGATATTTCAGTTCTCCACTGAAAAAAAAAGAATATCCATATTATTTTGTCTGTAAAGCAAAAGGAACAAACAATGACACTATGATAATATCTTGTTTTTGGCAACACATCTTCAACATTGTTAGGTTAATTTCACATGTTAATAGAATCAAACAATGATAATTTTAATTTTCATAGTTTTGAATGATGATGTTGAACCTAGAAAGAAAATAAATTTGAATTGTTGGCTAAGTTAAAACTTTTTGTCTGCAAAAAAAGACATTTCAATTGGCAATTAGCCAATGTTTTACCAACTATTCCAAACAAATGTATTTGCCAGTTTCACCAATTGCTTTAGCAGTGCTTAATGTTCACTCTTCATTTAAAATTTCTTCATCAATTAGCACTTAGCAGGCAATAAATAATTTATTAGCAGATTTTCTAGTGATTTTCTAGTGATATTTAGAAAAATTAGCAACAATTTAAAAAGTTTCCAAAATTGTTTTTCAAAACAAAAAAAAATAGAATAGAAAAGCAATATAGTAGAAATTAACATATCATTGCTTCAGTTTCAGGCGTTGGATTTCTTTTCATTAGACAACCTTGATCCTAGATCAGAATCTTTAAAAAACTGAAAAATTAATACAAAATGTAATCTGAGATTTATAATAATTTGAGGAGAAAATCAATAAAGTCTGTTTATTTAAATTTTCATGTTCTATAGTTCAGAAGAAAAACTTGTTTTCATAGTTATATATTAATAAAATGGTAAATAAAAGATATTTATTATTGTAGTTGGTTACAATTTTTGTAATTTTGTAAAAATTGAATAAATATTTTAATAAAAAGATTTCTTTTCAAATTTATTTCTTTATAAAATTATAAAGAATAAATCTTTATAAAAGCTAAATGATACATATCAAATTATACTTGGTTCCCATATTTTTAAAACTTTGTAAATAGTTTGCTATATTTCAAAACTAATTTAAATTGATTTTTAGCTAAAATAGCTGATTAGTACCCTTTTTATTGCAATGTAATTCTCTGTATTAAAAAATCTTCCAAAACTAAAATATACTTTTCAGAAACTTTGAGGAATATTAACTGATTTAAGTATAATTAATCTGATTTGAAACAAATATTATTTAAAATTTAAAAGTTTAAAATATTGCAGAAATACATTTTTTAACAGTATGGTAGCTGTTATAAGTAATAAAAGCTACTTGAATGTGCATCGTTTGCCTTTTAGAGAGAAAGCAGACACTGTTTTAGGCTTTTGGTTAATTTTTTGGATTTTGAAAATATTTTTGGTAACATTTCAATTTGTGGGAAAATATTCTCCGTATTCTGTTTTAGTGAATTTTAGATACTTTGACTTTAAATTTACTATAGTCATCACTCTTATTTTCTGATAATGTCTGGTATGGATGACTGTATCTACAAAAATTGGCACATTTATACAGAACAAAGAAATTGAAAATTCTTTTTAAAATATTTGTGTTTGATGAATTGTACTAAGCATTTTCATTTACGATTAGTAAATATAGTTTTACTTAATAATCATATCAGCTAAAAGGGTGAAATTAATACAGAATTTTACAAGATTTATAATTTAGTGAATTATCTCATTAAAATTTTAAGTTTAAAAAATGAAAAAATTCTTGTAAAGATTCATTACTCATTGAAAAAAATTTTTCTTAACAAAGTATTGTTGTTAATATATTTTATTTATTAAAGCAATTAAAAGTTTTTCTAATTAAATAATGTTTTAGTTTTATTGCATTCTTTATTTTACAATTGAGAGCAAATTTTTAGTAAATGGTGTTTCTGTTTGACAAAAACAACTTCATTTAATTTCTTCAAGGACTCCTGCTATTAACTAATATAAATATGAAGAACCTGGAATTTAAATTTCTCAAAATTTCATAAAATTAAGTGGGGATAACAGATGTAAAAATATTTTTTACTAAGATTTTCTAAAAAAAAAAAATTTCCAAAATAATTTCATTCTTTTGTGAATAAGTCCTGAAAGTTTCATTAAAATCTGACAATCATTTGATTTTTTCAAGAATTTCCAAATCATTGTTTCTCACTGGAAAAAAGTGTAAAAAACTAATCGCAAATATTATGTCGACCACCAACATAAAAATAACAAGATTTTTAACCAAAATTTTGAACGTGCTACAAAGGATTAAAAAATTTAATAAAATAATAAAAAAATAAATTGGTCTTTCCTCTTAATAATAAACATTTTGATATAAAACTTTGTTTTTATTATGTTTGGGGACATTTTTCAACATGCTATGCTATTTTTTCAGCTACCAAATGAAGGTACCTACACTTTTTGTTGTCAGTTACTACAATACCTAAATTTCTTTACCTGTTTGATTTCAATATTTCCAATTTGATGATTATTTATTTGGCTGACACTAATGACCATACATTCTGTTCTAGTAATTTTATAAAAGTCACAAATAGCAGTGAAATGTGAAAATGAGAGTATTCAACAGAATTTGACTTTAAATGTAGTAATGATAGCAAATTGATGACTAATGTCTTCCCCCAAGGAATGACTATGTTCAACCAATGACAAATGAAATAAAAGCATAAGAAAAATGAAAAACAAAATCTTACTTTAATATCCCCAAGAATCACAGAACATTTGTAAATAGCACTTCCTTTGACATTATATAGGTACTGTTCACATTTCCTCACATCATCACTGGAAGAGAAAAAAATCATTAATTTCAATTAACATCTGAGAAAATACAAGGCTTGAGAGCCACTCAAAATAGAGGTTTACAGTTGAAATGACAAATGAGGTGTGTGATATGAATGGAAGAGAAAGTGGATAAGTGGATAGGGAGGGTTGATAATGATTGACCCTTGAGGGAAGAAGACACATGGGGAGTCTATCCCACAAAGTAGCAGTTTGTAATGAAGATTTATGTTATTGGTTAAGGTGGACTGGTTGTGACCCTTACAAAACACCACTGTATGATCCACAATCTAATGGGATTGCAGAATAATGGGGTAGACAGTAAAAATGAGCTTAAAAGCATTTTCCTCAAGTAGAAATTCTATAAAAAAATAGCCCAAATATTTTTTAATATCAATAAAATATTGACATTTAAAATTGATGTGTGAGTGGTTTTCTTTGTTGCTACTTTATTGTTTTGTCTCTTTCTTTGTCTTTTCTCTCTCTCTTTTTTTCTCTCTTTTTTTCTCTCTTCTTTTCTTTTCTCTCTCTCTCTTTTTCTTTTCTCTCTTTTCTTCTCTGTATCTTTTTTTAATTTTTTCATTCTTTTATTGCTTCTTTTTTGTGTTTTTGTCTTCATTTTCTTTTGTCTTTCCTACTCTGACCACTTTGTTCTAATCAATAAAAATTATATAATACTCTTTTTAACTTACGCAAAATAAATTCCTCGGCCAAACAACCCAACAGTACTGAGTCGTTGATCCAGTCCACGAGAACAAATCAGATTTCTTGGAGCTTTAGTTGCATGATATAATTCTTTAATTTGCAGATCAAATTCTGAAACAAGATAAAAAATCTGCAAAACATTTGTAAAAACAGGTTTTAGTTTTAACAAGTCAACATCTGCTAAGTATGAAATAAATTAATGATTTATTCAATTTGGTAAAATGTTTAAGAATAGTATGAATTATAGATAACAAAAGTCCATTTAGTAAAATATGGGCTGATTAATTTTGAAATTGGTTTAACTTGAAAATGTTGATAATATAACATAAGATTCTTAAGTTGTTTTGTGGCTACAACCAGTCATTGTTGTTCGTAAACTAGTAAGAAATATGAAAAACATTAAACCTGTACTATTTTATTCCAAGCAAAATAACAAAATACACATCTGCTATTTAAACACATATTAAACACAGTAGTTTTCTCCAACAATTACCATATTTATTGGTGTCAAAGGTGTTTTTTTTTCCTTAAATAAGTTTTGAAAATTTAAAAAAAAAAATTTCTTTAAATACACTAAAAGCATAGAATTAGTGGACAGAATATTATTGAGGAAGGTAAAAGTTATCAAAAAAAAATATCTCACCATTTCCATGTAGTCTTTTTACTTGGTTGATCTCCTCTTGAAATAATTTCTTTTGTTTTTCATTCTCAACATACTGAATAGTTTTAATATCCTTGCCAATCTGGCAGTTTTTAAAGTCTCCAAATATATCCTGAAACGTCTGATCCCCACGGCACAAAGGTAAGAGTTTATACTGTTTTCTCTTTCTGAAATTCTTATCCTTTGTATGAATATTTTCTTTCTTTACATTGGAACATACTTTTGGGGTTGGTGTTGCACTGTTTTGGCTATTAAGTATCTGGTTAAATTTAACTTCAGCTTCTTTTTCATTTAATCCACGGGCCCAGTTTTTATCAAGAATGCCAAGAGATATCATGTCTCTCACTTCTTGATTCATTTCTTCATCTGCAAATGGTTCTGCTTGACTAAATTTAGAATCTTCACCATTTGAAAGCACCTGATTAAGTTTAACTTCAGCTTCTTTTTCATTTAATCCACGGGCCCAGTTTTTATCAAGAATGCCAAGAGATATCATGTCTCTCACTTCTTGATTCATTTCTTCATCTGCAAATGGTTCTATTGTGTTTTCTGAATTTTGATATTGTGATGTTGAATTAAATTGAAATTTCTTCATTTTCAATTTTCTTTTGTGGTCTCTAAATGGTATACAAATATTTTAAAGTCTGCAAAAAAACAAAAAACAAAACAGAATATCAAAACAGTAATAAAAAATCTTCAAGGAAAAAGGGATTCTCTTAAGATGACAAATGAAAGATAGTGAATAAATGCAAAAAAAGAATCAGTATCTCTTCAAATAAATTCAAAACTTAATAGCATTGGTGGTCAATCAAGTTATTGGTTACTCAAGCATTTGGCTTAATGAAAAACAAGCAGATCAATTGTGATCTGTTGAATCATTGTATACAAAATGTTGATTTGGAGTTTCATTCATTCAGTAGAATTTCCATGCTAAGAATAAATTAGAATGCTTTATTAATTCACAGAATTAAAGACTAATTCCTGTTTTGGCCATTTGGCACTCATTATTTTTGCTTAGTATTTTCATTAGATTAAAAAATTGCTTTTTTTAAAACATTTTTTTCCTTGGAAAAGTTTTTGTGGCTAGTTAAGCAATGAAATTTAAATCTTTCCATTAAAAATAGAAATTGTAACACAAGTAGTAGTAGCATTATCTACTGTTGAAATTGTTGGTTAAACTTTAAAATTTTGAATCTGTATAAAACAAAAGGCATCAAATGTATATCATTAACAAATGTCTTTCTAAGAAGGAATGCAGTTATATCTTTTGGAGGAGAGGGAGAGTTACATTTTTTGTTACATAAATTTTGGAAAGCTAGGCATGGAGTAAACTTTTTGATAGCCAGAGTTGAAATCAGAAAGAAAAAGCAGAAGTTGAGAGAGAAGTAGAAATAGTTGGTTGGTAATGGAATTGAATATTTATTGCATTATTAAAATACATATGTGGGACATGGCTAAAAAATGGAAATGGGGAGGTTAGTCATCACTGGTCAAACTTTAACCTAACTAGTAACATTCACTGACCGAAGCATACATTATAATAATCTTTCCACCACAATACTACACTTATACAAAAAAATACATCCATACCACAATCACCAAAACAATTTCTGTTCTCTAAGACATCTTAAGCTAATTCTCCATATTTACAAGTATGTAGGGATAGAGATAAAAGTATAATTTTTATTTACACAAGTAGTAAGCTAGGTTAAAACTTTGATTTAATGGCATATTCTAACCTTTATGTAGCTTCATTTGCATTAATGAATCTTCCTTTTGAAGTAGTCAACTTCATCATTTCTTTCAGTATCTCCTAGTCTCAAAATAGCTGTATTTCATCCTTTATTAATAAACTTCATTATGTATATGATGGCTTGAACAGAACACCATAGTTCTACATTAATATGTTCTTTAAAGGCTTTCAAAAGAACAGAAGAATAAAGAACAATCCATCTATTATCAATTGTATAAGTTTGCTTATTTCTTCCTATGACAGTAGTAATTCCTCCATTTTCTGGTGAACTTCTGCAGATTAGATATCCTGTCATGTTAGTTTTAGTTTCATTAATGAAGTGTCCATTTTCTCACAGTGTCCATTTTTCATACATGATACTTATGAGTTCATTGTACCGCAATGATCATGAACTATGTGTGTTGAGATTATCTCATATAGTTCAAGTTTTTCAGCACAAATGATTGTGTCAATATCCTGAGGATATATCCTGTCTGTTCTCTGGACAAAAGAGACTGTGTGGTAAGCCTCTTTTCTGCCATTCAATAGTGTAAGTGTAGTCTTTTGTTTTTCCAAAGATTCTATTTTTTTTTTATGCTATTGCTTTATTTTAATCAGTTTTATTCTGAGCACTCTCACATTTTTTTTTAATTATTTTATTAAAATGTTTTTTGATTTTTTATTAAGAATTCCTACATTTTTTATATTCAGAAGTTTTTTTATCTTTCTTGTTAAAATTTTGTTGAAGATTTTCACTGTTGGTGTTGATGAAAAAAACACTAAAATATGTTTTTAACTGTGATATAAGCCCCCCTTCTTCAGAACAATGACATTCTAAAACATAATCGAAGAGTTTGGACAGATATTTGTCATTAAAGGGCAGGTAGTTCATGATTGACGTATCGGTTAATGTTGTCTCCCTTTCTTCCTCATTTCTACAAATGTCCATCTCTTATTTTCTTGATTGGGCATAACGTTTTAGCTATTTTAAAAATCTCATTTTCATTGTTGGTTTCTCTGACTAAGATATTGTTTATTTATTTAACTGAGAAACTCTCTAGTGAATTAGCTTGAAGGTGAAGATCAATTTCTTTTGATTGTTGAATTTTAATTTTATTTCTTCTATAATATTCATCCTATTTTATAATAATAATTATTCATGTCCAATTTTAATAAAATTCCAAGTTAGAATATTTGTAGATTTTGTAAATATTTTTGACAAATTTTATAATCACTATAAAAATTATCACCTATGGCAGCACACTGTCTTATCAGCATTAAATATTACCATGTTTCATAACAGATGAGGCAAAGAAGTAAAAATCAGTAAAAATCCCATGGATGTCAGGACTTTGAGCACATTGTCTTTTGTGGATCAACAAATCATCTACGTGTGCTTGTCAACTAAAAAACTAATCCGGCTACCCTACTTCATGTTCTTACGAGTGAGGAGAGTTGCTAGCAACCCAGTGGGATGAAAAATAAGACCTAACAAAGGGTGGAAGAACTCTCACTGAGTCAACAGCCAGCTAACTAGAGGTGACGCCTCCATAAATCACTGTGGAGAAGGCAACAGGAAACCACTCCACTATTAATTCCAATCTATCATGGCAATTATCAAACAAATGAAGTGAATTATGTTTATGGGAATTAACTCCTCTTCCGGTAAGGGCCAACATATGCAACAGGTGTCATCTGACTGTCATCCAGTGACTGCTAACATAAATGGCATAAAGGGGATAAAATGCTTTGGAACGTATCTCTTGCCCAGAAAGGAGTGACATGAGCGACATGTGTCACCTAGTGACTACTCGCATTAAACAAAAAATAACCTCCAGGACATGGAAAGTTAAAAATGTTAAACTGTGGCCAGTTGGAAAATGTAAAACAGAAGAGAGTAGGTTAAATGAAACTAGGTGGCCAAACAATGGAGATTTTTTCAGTGACAACCACAGGATTATATATGCTGGTGGAGAGAAAAATAAAAAAGGAGCTGGATTGATACTAGATGAAGACATCAAAAATGTGTTCTGGGATACTCTCAATTATCTGAAAGAATTTTGGTAGTTAAACTGAAAGGAAAACTTTTTAATGTATCTATTATAATAGTGTATGTAACGATAGCACAAAGTATGGAAGAAGAAATCAAATCTTTCTCCTTCCTACTAGACAATACCAAGGCTCAGTGCAAATCACAAGAAGTTATAATTATCATCAGAGACTCAAATGCCAAATTAGGCAAGGAGAAGGCAAGGGAGATATCTGGCAAATTTGGACTAGGAACCTGCAATGAACACAGAAAAAATAGATCCAATGGTGCATGGCCAACTGGTTTCAAGAACATCCAAGATGATTATGAACATAGAGAAACCTAGGAGGAGAAAGTAAAAACCAAATAGACTACATACCCATGAACAAAAGATTCAGGAATGCAGTTGTTCACTGCAAAACCTATCTAATTGCCAACCATGAAAGCAATCACCTCCCTGTTATAAGTAAATTAAGAGTGAAACTATGGAAACTGAAAAGGCCTAATGCAGCAAACCAAATTGCAATACAACAGACCCCTGAACAATCTGATCCTGAAGGAAAAATATATGAACAGTGTGAAAAGAAGATAGGAGGCACAAAATAGAAACTTGAAATGGGATTAAGAGAAGCTTTAGAGACATCAGCAAATGACATGATGAATGTGTAGAAGAGAAGATGACTTATTCTGTGTGGCAAAGTGAGCACATATATGCCTGGTATGCAAAAATGAGTGAAAGGAAAAAAATATGGCCACCCTGATACCTTAATTTAAGAAAGACAGTTTCAGAGTTAGGAGAATTGGTGAGAGTGGGACATATGCAAATTTTTTTGAGATCAGCTAGGCATAAAAACACCACATGTGGGAGAGAAACAACCAGATGCTTGTGAAAGTGTATATGAAGAGACTTTGTCAATTGGAAAAATGATTATTTAGGACAGTTTTTCACAAGCTATTTCAGGTAAAATGATGAATGGAAAGAAGTGAAGATCATGAAGGATTTTAAAAGAGAAGATGAATTACTCCATGTGGCAAAGCAAGCATGTATATGCCTGGCATGCAAAATGAGTGAAGGAAAGGAAAAAGAAATATGGCCACCATAACAACTTAATTTAAGAAAGACACAGTCTCAGAACAAGAAGAATTGGTGAGAGTGGTTGGGCATATGCAAATTTTTTGCAAGATCAGCTAAGGATAAAATACCACATGCGAAAGAAAAATGATCAAATGCTCATGAACATGGTACTGCGTATACAGAGAGACTTTGTCAGTTGGGAAAGTGATAACTTGGGTCAGTTTCTCACAGAATGAATGAAGAAGAAAAAAAATGAATGGATGACAGACAAGATTCTTGACATGATGCAAAGGAGACAGAAAACAATGCCAAGACATGGAAAACTACACAATGAAATAAGAAACAGATGCAGACAGGCTTAAGAAGAATGGCCAAAATGTATCCAATGAAAGTATAGAAGACCATTCGGACTAAAATGAAAATGCTGGGGTCCAGAAATCACTTTGTTGTTAGAGGTCCACCCCTAAATGCATTATCAATATTGTGGGGTTTTTGGAGCAA